AAAAATGTTTAAAAATTATAATTTTTGGTTATAAACTAATTTGGGTTATTTTTTTTTGCTAAAATATAATGGAATATATTTTGGCCACAATTTATGATGAAATACTATTTGCAAAATTTTATAAGAAAAACACTTTTTTTCTAAATTTTTGGACTTTTAATTTACATAGCAAAAAAAATAAAATCCCAGTGGTGAATAAATACCACCAAAATAGAGCTTTATCTGTCTCAAAAAAATGCTAAAAAATGAATATGGGTACAGTGTTGCATGACCGCGCAATTTTTATTCAAAGTGTGATAGCACTGAAAGCTGAAAATTGGCCTGGACAGGAAGGGGGTAAAACTGTCCGGACTGGAAGTGGTTAAAGTGGAACTTCACTTTCTCAATCATCATTGACTATGTTCTATCCTTATGCTTCCATCATTAGTAAATAGAAAGTATATCATATGTACTTGTTCAAAACATTCTTTTTAATTTCTTCGGTTGCTCCCTGGTTTCCATGCCTAGGCAAATGAGGTCATACATCCCAGCAGTCTTTAGGAGGGGTTTTTTCAGCTAAGCACACCCTCCTGCCTGCATGTTTGAGCTAAGAACAGATGGATTCCAGAGAATAATTGCTACATGAATCATCTGCCCTTACTCAAGATAAACAAAGTGATTTCTCAGCAAAGTAAAGCATGGAGACATGGATGGATGGCTGAGTTTGCTTTGAATATGAGAAATTAATTGAATAGCATTTTTGGTTTGTGGTGCTCAGGTGCAGTGTAGTTCCACTTTATCTTTGTCTTAGATTCTGGCTCTTGGGAGAGCTGCTAATACACAAAGTTATCTGACGTGTGTGATTTTCCACTCCTCTTTAGAAAAATAAGATTTAAAGAGGAAGGTTAGTCATAAATACTTAATAATGTTCTTTAGCAGGAACATACATTCCACATTAATAATTGTGCTACCAAAATTAGTGTGTGCTGTAAATTGCCTCCAGCATTGTTCCTGTATCTTCTTGCTGGAGGCTGCCATTTTGCCAAACCCCAGAGCCCTAGAACAACAGTAAATCATAAAGCGGAACTAAACCCATTGAATTAACGGATTAAAAAAAAACAGTTACATTCCTGGAATGCTGGGATCCCTAGGACCCCATTCACACTTTTCATACCCTTTCAGCTCGAAGCTCAAAAACGCTCAACAAGTAAAATCCCATTATTGCTAATGGTCCCTGTTCACACTTAAGCGTTCTGTTGCCTGCAGCAAAACACCTGTCACTCAAAAAAGTACTTGCACTACTTTTCAGGCAGATCTAAGAGTTTTGTTTCCATAGACTTGAATGGAAAATGCCTGAACAGTGGGAATGAGCATTTTGTCAAGCGTTTTTTCAAGTGTTTTTTTCAGGTGGTTTCAAATCAAAAGAGCACCTATTTCTATTGGCCACAACAAAAACACCTGAAAAAAACGCCTATATCATCTGCTAAAAAAATACTCAAAGATGCCTAAAAAGAAACGCTTGAAAAAAACGTCTGAAAAATGCTCAACTCAGTGTGAATGGAGCCTAAGCTCAGTTCACACTGATGCGGTGATTCGTATAGGAACCGCACTGCATTCCTGTGCAAATCACATGCAATTTTTGTGCGGTGCAATTTGGGCCATACATTTTGTATGGCTCAAATCACACCGCATTTGCCCCGAAAAAGTGCAGGACCCTTTTTTTGCCCACACCAGAATTGGATTGCATGGATGCTCACATCCATGCGATCCAATTCTGCACATCGTACTGCGTTTTGCGAACTGATTTTGGGGTGACGTTAAAATACACACCCGCAGCGGTTCATATAAACGGGTTGTGATTACGATGCAGTGCGGAAATCAAACAGAAACCTGTGCAAATTCCGCACATCAGTGTGAACCTGGGCTTACTGTCACATTTGCTTGTGTCCTCAAACTATCAAACCATCAAATGGCTGGAGTCATAACTGATCACATGTGCAGCACCATGGCAGTTGCAGATCAAACAGAAGCAGCTTCCTTGGCTGTAAAGGATAGGGAGGGTTTAATTCTGTTTTAAGGCTGTCAGCAGATGGGCCTCTACAAATTTAGCTGTGCCAAAAAATAATGAGCAACTGAGCATGTGCAAAGCAGGGTGAGACAGTGTATTACTAGATTTTAAACTGTACAGGCACTTATTTTTAATGTTTTACATAGCTATACCTGCAAAAGGGGCCAACCAGAACTTATCTAGCAGGACTTCGTTTTCTGACTAAAGTTCCGCTTTAAGCAGTTTTAAATCAGAAAAGAAATGAAATGCTCAACTGCTTCAGTATATGAAATTGTCCAGTTTGTAACCCACTGAAACACAAGCAAAAGGTTAAATTGTTCAGTAACACAAGATTAAAAGTTCCTGTGCAGTTTAGTCCGGACAGGCACAAAAGCCGATAAATGCTTATGAGGAGCAACTTAAGCCTCTGCCAGGATCGAAGTAGTATTTGTAGACAGTTCCAGAGATATTGGGGAAGATGGTTGCAGTAAACAGACCAAGCATAAAGAATAGGCCAGGACTGCTGCAGATTAAAAGGTACCCAGCACTTTCTTGGGGACCATGAAGCATTCACAGTGCTCTATAAAATTAATCGGTGATAGCACTCTCTCAGCTAAACCAGCATTCAGCAGTATATCATTTGTTTTTTTGGGTTTTTTTTAAACCGAAGTACATTTTAGATAGTAGATCCTAAACTGCAAAATAGTGTGTGTTCAGACTGGAGGTCTACAAGCTACTCTTCATTTTCAATATCTGAGTCACTGCAGAAATCTCATGAATGGCAATGCTGTAATTCATTCCACAGTTCATTCTATGGGTCACCTTCTCCCTCCAATAACAGACGGAGATGTATTCCCACAAATTCCTACAGCCTACTCCCTGTTCTTCCAGGGAGCTACCTCAATTTCCAGTTAGTCACCTGATGCTGCCTTGACTTATGGCTAATTCAGAGTTGACTCATGATGGTCAATACATTGCTGTTTACTAGAAAAGTTAGTGCTAATAATAAGTAAAACAAATTATTTATGCAATACATTTGAAAAATAGAAGCACCAACTCTATGAAAAGGTGAAGCGGGTCACAGCTCAATTCTTAACTGGGTCATTACTGCCGTTAGATGGTTCCAGGAGCCCAGTAGGAAATACGCTTTTGGCCATGTGCATGGCTGTGATATTGCTAGCCATAGTTCTCCATCTAGAGATTATCCACTACATGATCCACTACTGTGTCCTGCACCTCTTAGCTGATTCTCCCAAGCAATGTGTAGTGAATTCATTAGTTGTGGACAACTCGACCGGTCAGTGCTGTGCTCGAGGTTTGGGGGTGATCCTACCACTGGGTCTCCCAGCAGAGAAGACCCAAATGAGCCTCCAATGTATGCAAATAGGCCACCCTTTTGGCATCACAATCGTATAAAATTTGCTGAAATTCTAAAAAACCTACCTGTTTGTTGCAGCTCAACCTACTCCATGATTACTCAATGCAAAATACTAATTCATCCCACCAGATGTCTTAGAGAATCATCTCTGGTCTATCCAACTGACAAGAAAAAGTCCTGGCTCAAGCCACGGTCCTCCTAGAAACCAGCTCTTTTTTCTCCTTCTGCTTGACTTTACTCTCCATTATGCTTTATATTTGATCATTTCCCCTACTATTCCACTCTTCATTTCTGTTAATGGCTGAACATTCATTACCTATAAAAAGGTGCAGAATTATACCTTTTGCTTACCTTTGCATGGAATTGCTTTTTTATATCAGGGCAGTATTTCCCATTTGTTTTTACCTCTTTTATTTATGTCCTGTTAGCACTGTGACTCTGACTCTGTACCTCTGGTCATATTTAAGGTGGACCAACATTCAAATGGTAACATACTGTAAATCTAAGTTAGGAATGTTATGAAAACACTGTTTCAATCTCCCTTCACCGACACGTGTGAAAGGCTAAATATTAGGTCACATCTCTGCTGATGTCATCTATTCTAAACGTGTATCCCTTCATCAGATATCACATGACTAGGCCTTCTGACATGTGTCAAGCACTGAAGGAACTAAGATCCTCATTTTGTCCAGGAAAAGTATGTATTTTAGCCCTTCTAAGCAGCAGTCTTGCCTCCAGAATTTACTTTGATGAGAAGCTCACTAGAGAGCTCTGATGAAGAGGGCACAGCGCTTGAAACGCGTAAGCTATGCTCCTTTGGATGGAAAAGCGCCATAGCATCAAGGATTGGACTAGATAGTAATACATGCATTTTACCCTGTACCTTTGTGAGAATACTGGAATTTGTTTTAATAAAAGGTCTTATAATAATGCACTAGGCTAGTGCGTAGTCTTTTTGCTTTTGTTCCAGTTTGGTTTTCTCCGATCTGAAATGGATGGTATTTTGGCTCAAAGTGGTGATGTTTGTTATTAGTTCCATAAAAGAGAAGAGGAGCTTATTTTGGGTCATTTTTGTATCCCTAGCATGGAGGGTTCTTCCGTCTGTAGTGCTGACAAGAACATTTAATTTGTCAAGAAAGTAAAGTGGATATAAAAAGTCTTCACATCCCTGTTAAAATGTCAGTTTTCTGTGATGTAAAAAAATGAGACAAAGATAAATCATTTCAGAACTTTTTCCACCTTTAATGTGACCTATAAATTGTACAACTCAGTTGAACAACAAACTGAAATAGTTTAGATGGAGGGAAGTAAAAATAAAAAAAACTAAAATAATATGGTTGCATAAATGTGCACACCCTCTTATAACTGGGGATGTAGCGGTGTTCAGTATTAAGAATTGGGAGGGGTCCGAAAACCTTCGCAACCCAAATCCAGCATAAAGGGGCCCTTAAATCCCTGAGGGCCCAAGGGCAGCTGTGGAGTTCTAAAGCCTGCCCCTGCATCTCTCACAGTATGATGTATAATGAGTAAACATTAGTAGCCAGATGAAGATGTAGTTGCACTAGTTCCCAGACACACCTTCTCCCTTACACTCACCCGTCTGGTCTGTGCTAACGGACCCATTGGAGCCGGGGCTATTTCCCAGATACTGGTACTCTGCCACACCGAATGAGTTGGAACCATCATCCCCAATATTCTGAGAGATATCCTGGATGTCCCCCAGGTCTGTGAAGAACTCCTTTGACAGCGGGCTCGCAAGATCATCATCCTCCAAGGGAGCAATGGAGCAAAACTCCACATCTGGGTCTACCTTGATGGTGGACATGGTAGATTGTGTCTGTAACCATTACACTGCAGATAAAATAAACAAATTTTTTCAAAAATACTGATTCAAAATCTGTTACTTATTCACAATTTAACATACAAGGATCTACAATATATGGGCAAAGGTTTATGAGCACTTGACCCTCGCATCTATCTACTGTATATGGCCAAAAGTAGGTGGACACCCTTCCAAATTATGCATTTCAAGTGTTTCCAGGAAAGAGTACTGTTAAAGAGGAGTTCCAGGCTCCCCCGAAAAAATTTAAAGTCAGCAGCTACAAATACTGTAGCTGCTGACTTTTAAGATAAGGACACCTGTCCAAGGGCCCAGCACCATTGTCACCCGGTTCTTCACTAGCCTCCGAGTTTCCAGTGCAGGCATCTTCAGTAAGGGAAACCAGATAAATCTTTTAAAAAGTAAATAAATGTTAAAAAAAAAAAATCTCCGTTTTTTATTGCAGAGGTGGGAGAGGAGTACAGGGAACTGAAAACAACTTGAATCAGTATGCGAAGTCACCTAATCTCAACAGAATAAAGTGAAAAAATTAATAATGAAAAAAATACGTGTGTAGACAATTTTGGATGCTCTGCTAGACACTAAGGGGTTATTTACTAAAGCTGGAGAGTCCAAAATCAGACTCCCTTCTGCATAGAAACCAATCAGCTTCTAACCTCAGCTTGTTCAATGAAGCTTTGGCAATGAAACCTGGAAGCTGATTGGTTTCTATGCAGAAGGGAGTCTGATTTTGGACTCTCCAGCTTTAGTTAAATAAACCCCTAAAGGTCTTTTCACACAAACCTCTACACAAATATAAACCAAAGAACAGTGTAGCACAACCAAATCAATAATCAATCAAATAATACATCAATCAATAAATAAATACTGAGGCAGTCCCACCCAAGATGTAATGCGTATAGGGGGATGGAGTCACGCATGATGTCGCGACCAAATTACTGAGTTGTAACGTCAATGTCAATAAATGCTTCTTGTCCCTGAACAGTTGAGTGCTTTAATTTGTAAGTGTCAACCTACTTTTAGCCATATAAATTGATCAAATAGAGAGCACTTTTGGCTGTCTCTATTTTAAATAAATGTTTCTACATAACTGAGCTTTATGAGAATGGAGAAGAGCCGCATGTGAATGAGAACTCATGCCCTCAAAGGGAAATCGCTTCTGACCTACTGTTAGCTTAGAGGTCAAATTCTGGAGGTGAGTGGTCAATCTTCCTTTGGTGGAGGTGGTTGATATATTAGGAAGATTTACATTTACATCAAGCACTTTTTGGTGACTGGATTTTTGAACATTGATGAAATCTTTGCTGAATTGAATTAACAGACACCTTATTTATTCATATATTGATTTCTGTTTTATTTGAGTATAAATTTGGTTGCGCTACACTGTCCTTTGTAGAGTACAGGGACCTAAAGTCACCCAAGGAGGTGAAGGTCTACTTTAACACCTGGCAAATATGAATGCAGCTCTGTATTCATGAACACATTATTACATTTATTTTCTAAAATGTAAGTTGTGGAAGTACCTGAATTTAACATAACACCCTGTACAGTAAAGCTCAGATTGGGAGAGGGAGAAACAGCGCAAAGAACCAGTCAGTTGTGCTGTATTTATCATGTTTTAACAAGGAGACATGCTGATAGGAGGAGAGATCAGAGAGACAGAGAGATGATCTAATCAGTCTGCTGCTTCTCATTTTACTGTTCAGACACATGGCAGTGGCATATAAAAGAGGAGTGCTGTCTGCAACAGGTGCTGACTCTCTGAAGGGTGCTAGGGCTGCTCAACCAGGGGCGGACTGACAACTCATGGGGCCCCTGGGCAATAGGGAATCATGGGGTCCCTGTGTCCTTGCCCAAACTCAAAAAAGCCTAGGAAAAAAGGTACCAGGGACATCTCATGGGGCCCCCTACTGACCCCGGGCAATGCCCGAGTTTCCAAATGGTCAGTCCGCCCCTGTGCTCAACATTGTTTTTGTATTGCACGGCACTGCACCCTGTACACTGGGCTGTATAACAAGTTGGGAAACAGAAAAACAAGACATAAATGATTTCTAGTACTAGAGATGGCCATTTCAGGTAATGTTTTTCATCTATGTATTCATCTAGCAAACACAAGTACTGTACATAAACCCTGTCCTAATACAGCCTATAGCTGGTGACTCTACGGGGGTACTGCATTTTAGGATTTAACTTTAAATGGACTAAATCTGTGATGTATAACAGCAAAAGTGAATGAAAAACAAACTGCCAGCAAGCACAGGTTTTTTTTGTTTATTTTTTCATTATGCGGCCTGTAGCGCATGCGCAGTGCAATGTAGACTCTCATCATCTGTAAATTGCCAAATTACAAATCTAAGTGCCGGAATAATGGGCTTCACTGTGTAAGCAGAATTTCATAATCACTGGGAGCTCAACTGATATACCAAGACGCAACACTGCCTGCCTTCACAGTAAACACGTGAAACAGATTTGGAGAGCTGGTGACTTTGCATCTTTTTGTATCTGGTTCTGACATGGCACCATCAGTGGCATTCACTCTGAGCATTCATCATTAAAAAGTCAAGTGTTGTGAGGAGTGCAGCTTCTATTTGGACTTATATTGTATTCCTGGGCAGTCAAATATGACACTTCCAAGACAGATTTACAGTATTTGTGAAGGTGATACAGATTTCCATTCTAGAGAGACACATATTTAGACATCAGGATTAGTAGTGCTACTTTAGGGCAGCCAAAGGAGGAATTTATGACTCAGGCAGTAACCTTGTTATAAATCTGTCTCACAATGCCTCTCACTGCTCTTATTTAGCATTGCTTTGTCCTGCAACAAGATTGATAAAAGGTCCCTCGTTGTCCCCAGCTCTCTGGACTACAGAACACCTCCTTCTGTGTTATGCAGATGAGAAAAGGAGGGTGAAGGTCAGGGGCGGACTGACAACTCATGGGGCCCCCAGGCAATAGGGGATCATGGGGCCCCTGTGTCCTCACCCACACCCAAAAAAGCCTATGAAACAGCCAATGAAAGGTACCAGGGGCATCTCATGGGGCCCCCTACTGACCCTGGGCCCTCGGGCAGTGCCCGAGTGCTCGAATGGTCAGTCCGCCCCTGGTGGAGGTGTTCCGTAGTCCTGTCCTAGGGTGACAACGCTACTCCTAGTCACCCTAGGACAGGAAGTGTGTTCTTGGCAGGATCACCAAGTGAAAATCAGGGAATAAAGCCTGAAAAAAAGAAGTCCAATGAAGCCATCACATCTAAAGTTTGGTAAGCTGCAATATATTAACTGGGTTCTTGGGTTTGGATACGCATTAGCTTACAGCATGTACTGATGGAAAACACATTATAATTTTCCTCTCCAATTTATAGCAACAGGCTAAGTAAATATGAATGAGCTTACCCTCTTATATTCTGCTGACCATGGGAAACCAAGAGTTTTGAGGCACCGGTTCACAAACATTCCATTTCTGGCCAGGCAAGAAAAAAAAAAAATGTTCCTCTGCAAAGTAAAAAAAAAAAAAAGTTAAGCAACACAACAAAATCTAAAGACTTAGAATAATGGCCTATGACAGGAGAGAAGTCAGGGCTCAGAGGAATCAGGGGCTGGAGGAAGGCGACTCCTGATGAAAAGGTTCCCCTCTATCTCTGTCTCAGTGCGATTAGCAGCAGGTAATGGATTAATCATTACAACTACACGTCAAATCATTAACCCGCTAACGAGTTCACAGAGCACCCTTACTAATGCATTGTAACACACCGGTTTATTGCTATGCCCTGCGCAGTGCGATTTATACCTATGCTGGAGTCAATTTTACCTGCACCGTAGTACAATTACAAAACCTCTAACATGGTACATTTCTTATTAGTAACTGAAGAGTACCCATTTTATAGTAGTACAATGCTCTGAAGGAGAAGGAAGATTTAAAAGTTGAACGGCGGGCAGATATAGAAAAAAAAAAAAATGAATACAGCTAAGTGTTTACTAAAAACATTATAACTAGTGCAAACACCTAAATGTGATTTGATATCAGCATCTCATGATCCTCTGTGCTACAGTACTCAGACTGAAAGGAAAGGGCAACTAAGGAGCCAATCACGTGTCCTGAATGCATATATGGTAACAAGGAATATTCTGACAGGAGGAAGAGAGAGGTGACCTCATCAGTGTGCTGCTGCTCCTTCACTGTACAATCACAGATTGGGGGTGGGGAAGTGACCTAGCTGTGTTGCAGAAAAGTCAGGTCTGATTGCAGGGGTATGGAAATTTAGATATAAAAAAAAACTACTTGTCCAGAGACTAAATCAGGGCCCCAATCTACTTGCCCCTCATGACAATCTACTTGTCCAGATAAAAAAAAAAAAAAATTCACCAAAACCGTATTTAAAATCGGAGGTGATTTTAGGAATCTCTGGGGCTTTTAAAAACAAAAGAGGCTTTATGGCGACTTAAAAGTGTAATATTTTTAACATTGCGCTGTTTATCTCCTCCTCCCCTCCCTGCCTGTCTCCAGCACCGCACCCGGGGACTAGCAGGGAGGAGAGAGTCCTTGCAGTGTAATGAGCACTGATTGGCTGCTCCTCAGGAAAGGGTGGGTCAGTGCTTATACTTTATCCCTTTCGCTGCCAGAGCTCTTTTTGCACGTTTAAAAAATAATAATTTTAGGTCTGAAGATTACATAAAACCCCCAAATATATTTTTCTGAAAGCAGAGACCCTAGAGAATAAAATAGTGGTAGTTCCAATATTTTATGTCACATGATATTGCCGCAAAATTTCAGTAAAAATTACAAGTTAATTTTAGAACACAAAAAAGCAATAAATTGCCTTTTTTTTTTTGTAAAATATAAAATATGAGGTTGTAGTAAGTAAACAGATATCCAACTTGTCAAACCTTAAATTTGTGCAACGAACTTCAGTACCCTATATTTTCTATAGGTCGACACATGTAAAGCTCCTTATAGGTCACCAGTTTAGCATTACGGACGAGGTCTGG